CCTGGTTTTCTCCACACATACCGCTTAGAATTAAGGCCAAAAAGCTTTAGGAAGGGTTCTGGTCGTCCCAAACGTCTTCCATTTAAGGATTATGGAGGCCACTGTGCTCTTAGGAACCTTAAGTGCAGCAGAAATTTTTTTGTAACCTTGGCCAGATCTGTGCCTTGCCACAATTCTGTCTCTGAGCTCTTCAGGCAGTTCCTTTGACCTCATGATTCTCATTTGCTCTGACATGCACTGTGAGCTGTAAGGTCTTATATAGACAGGTGTGTGGCTTTCCTAATCAAGTCCAATCAGTATAATCAAACACAGCTGGACTCAAATGAAGGTGTAGAACCATCTCAAGGATGATCAGAAGAAATGGACAGCACCTGAGTTAAATATATGAGTGTCACATTGAGTCTGAATACTTAGGACCATGTGATATTTCAGTTTTTCTTTTTTAATAAATCTGGGAAGTGGGAAAACTTGAAAAATCGGCAGTGTATCAAATACTTATTTGCCCCACTGTATATATACACACACACACACATATATAACAAAAATGAACATACAGTGGTTGTCCAACAGTCTGAGAACACATCTAAAATCTGGGATTCAAAACCGAATCAAAATAAACAGATGTAAGAACATTTTTGTAGAATTTTTATTTTTTAATATTTGGAATTGTCTGTGATACTTTTTCAGGACTTTTTGATGAATAGAACATTCAAAAGAACAATGCTTATTTGAATTTTTTTTGTATTTTAAGTAATATTTTGCTATATTAAATGTTTTTACTATCACTTTTGATCAATTTAATGCATCCTTGCTGAATAAATGTATTCATTTTTTAAATATATATAAGTGTGTGTGTGTATATGTATGTACTGTATGTATACAGTATAAATGATAAAAGTGGTGGTCTCACAGTGGTGGCGGTCATCTCCTTGCGTCGATCAGGTATCTCAGCCTTATTAGGGTTGTTGGCGGTGCTGACCATTGGACTAGACGGTGGTAGGGTCCGACTGCCCATTACGCTACAGCTGGCCTTCCTCGGTGGCATGCGGCTCTCACGCAGCTCACGGTCTCCGCTGCTGGTCGGGCTACGCTTAGGGTGCATCACAGGCATGCTGGGACCACCTGCAGAAGAAACAAATAATTATAATCGTTAACTACTGGAAGTATGTTTCTGTTTAGAGTTTAAGCTGAAGTGTCTCATACAGAAGTCACTGTGCCGTCGCTGGCGGTGGTAAGTAGAGGCGCTGCGCTGAGTCTTGCTGTGTGAGGATGAGGAAGATGACGATGAAGAGGAGTGTTTGTTGGTTCCATTGGTAACTGGGCTTGGACGTACACGCGGCAAAGTCATACTGCCACTAACTCGTGACTCAGCGCCATCCTATGACCAGATGCCAATAGAGAAAAAGAGTAAAAAATAAACTCTGAGAATCCAGGTCTTTGTTGTGCTCCATGCTGGCAAACAAGTGGTATTTTCAAGTAGAAAACTGGTATATAGTAACACAGTGTGTGTGTGCAATGTATTACCTCAGTCTTCAGGCCCAACAATAGATATGTAGCTGTGGCTTCATTATATTTCTGATTAAGTAAAGAGTCTTTAATCTCTTCTGTAGTAAAACCCATCCCGACCATAATCTCTGGAAAGACAAAGAAATCAGAGAACAGAGAGGAATATTTACAAACACAACAAGTCTCTTTATTCTAAGGATAATTTGAACACAACAGTAAAATGATAATAGTAGCAAAATACATAGTAAAACACTTGAATCAGTTTCCTACTGGTCTACATTCTCACCAATGCGGTTGGGGTCACTGTAGTCCTCTGCTGGTTCAATGTGAGGCTTTAGCTCATCGCTGTCATACCCTGCATTCATCCACTTATCCTTCATCACTTGCTGTGGAGGAAATACCAGCATCCTGATTAAACAGAAACCTCCCAGCTCAGTCATTTAACTGCGCTGACTTCATAACTCGACTCACACACAAATAATTAGCAATTTCTAGCAAATGCATTCTGTATGCATTCTACAACACAGAAACTTTACAGAGATATGACTCAGCACAGACTCAGCATCATTTAATGTATCTGGTACAGGATTTGGTACGGCAGAGTGTATCGATGTATCTGCAAATATGCACCTCTAGAGTGCAACGTTTGCTGGGATTGAGCACAAGAAACCTGCGCAGAATCCCCTCACAGTCTGTGGACATGTAGAAGGGCACACGGTACTTCCCCCTCAACACTCGCTCACGCAGCTCCTGGAAAACACACATGCACCAGCAAAATGTGTGACAAGCAAACATCCGTGTGTCTTTAGACAGAAAGTTACTAAAGAAATAAGGGTTTAGAGGACTTTTTAGGTCCAAAGTTAAAAAATGGTGCACTATTCTAAATTAATTTCTCTCATTTAGAGTAAGTTTTTTTTGTATTACTTCCCATATTCAGCAGTGGAGCATCAAATTGCAAGACTTTTACATTGTTACAAAAAATAAAATGCTGTTCATTTGAACTTTCTATTAATTTTTAGCACCAAATCAACATATTAGAATACTTTCTGAAGGAACATGTAACACTGAAGACTGGACTAATGGCTGCTGAAAATTAAGCTGTCAACACAGGCATACATTTTATTTTAAAATATATTCAAATAGAAAACAGTTGAAATAAATAAAAAACAGATGCTTTATAGATGAACTGAACTCATTCCATAATTGATGAACTTCACACAGCTATTAAACTGAACCGAATAAACAATTAATTGACTTGAACTGAAAAATTGGATGTTTACTATTGTCCTCTTTTTAGAGCTGCTTTACAGCAGAATTGAATTTTGTTTGCATCATTGAAACATTATTTTCCGGTTTAACACTGTAAAGCTGCTTTGACACAGTCTGTATTGTATAAAGCACTATATAAATAAAAGCGATTGACTTGTTTTTTGTTGTAAATACCAATGTAAGTAAGGTGTCAAGAGACTGGAATGGATCATAGTGGGTGTAGGAACAGAGTAACTGTACCTTGAGGTTCTGTCCATCAAAAGGAAGTGACCCACTGACCAGCGTGTACAGAATAACCCCCAGGCTCCAGATATCCACCTCTGGCCCGTCATACTTTTTTCCTTGAAACAACTCTGGAGCTGCGTAAGGTGGGGAACCGCAGAAGGTGTCCAACTTATTCCCCAACGTAAACTCGTTACTAAAGCCAAAGTCTGCTATCTTTATGTTAGCATCTGCATCCAATAGCAAATTCTCTGCCTGTAAAGACAAAAATAGTGAAAGAGATAGAAATAATGAAGTTGTACAGAACTGTGTGAAGGAAAGAAAAAACAGGACAGAAAGTGTTACAAAACTGCATAACATAGTGAGGCTGATGGGATCTGAAAAATCTGCATAATTCACACATTTCCTTTTGCAATTTTGCTTCTCAAGTAAATTTATATTGTGTTAAGGATATTTGGATATTTTTAGTGGAAAAGACAAAAAAATGCTGATTTAAAAAAATATATATTTTAATTTTAATTTAATTTAATTTTTTCATTCTAAAGATTCCAGCCCATACCTTCAGATCCCTGTGAACTATATTCTTCTGATGACAGTAATGAACAGCTGACACAATCTGAAACAAAACGAAAAATAACACAACCTAGTTAAAACACATGAAACCAGAGGCTTAATTTGATGCAATACCATGATCTTTAATCCTACACTATATGCTGCAGTGATAAGGTAAATGTCTCACCTGTCTAAATTTGGCTCTAGCCTCTAATTCTTTCATTCTCCCATGAGACACCAGGTAGTCAAACACCTCACCTGGAAAACCAAATCACACATGAATAATATCCCAAATATCACAGATGCACCTATAAATATTATGTTGACCATCAAGTCTTTTTGCATCGTTGCAGCATTATGTTGGCCACACTAGAATTAAGTTATATTTGTTTTCTATTCTTAGAACAAAGTTATATTCCATACTCCAGTATGTACATGAGAGCTCACCTCCACTTGCATATTCCATCACAAGATAAAGCGTCTTCTCTGTTTCAATAACCTCAAAGAGTTGGACTGTAATATACAAGAGTAGATGGCATGAAATAGTTTTTGTAAGCTTACATTTAAACAGCAATAGCTAATTATTTTGTATTGTAATTATTATAAAAGCAGCAGGCTTGCATTTATTGCATTTTAGTGCATCTTACCAATGTTGGGGTGGTGGAGAGTCTTCATGATCCGCACCTCTCTGAACAGCTGCAAAAGAAGAGAGAACAAAATGATTATCAAGAATAATACATACCATTTAAATCATTCCCAGAATAAATTGATATTCTTCATCTACATCAATAATTATGAACATGAAGCCTTCATGTAGGACAGCAATATCCAGAAACAATATTTTAATCATGACAACTCTCGGAAGATTTTAGCATGGTGATGGATATGACAATGTTAATGTATTTGGTCTTGGCGGAATAGATCTGCTACGCTGCTGCTGCTGTTGGTTATTGCTGTAGTTGTAGATTATTGCTGCTGCTGCAAGCAAGTAGAGGAACTTGCTACTCGATACGGTGCCATGAGTATTTAAGACATACTGCTGCTGCAGAAATAGCATATAAAATAACCCCGTAGGCAGATCTATACAGGTGGAGCTGGGGAAGGTGGAGGGTTTCAGAGAAACTCTGAAAAGCGTGCTGCAGGGATCTCTAGTGAATGCTAGCCAACCGTATAAAAGCAAGGCAGTAAGCTAATTGGCTGCATATGCAGCATGAACCAATCAGCTTGTGCCAAGTCATTTAACTCTCTGAATATCATCAGTTACGTTAACAACCCATCAGCTTGCGCCATCTAGAGTTTAATGACTAAACTATATTATATATACTTCTGTATTTCGTTCTCTCTCCATCTGTACGCAGTACTCAATATATAATCCCTGTTGCTGTGGAAACCTCAGAATGGAGTCTTGAACCTGCATCTGTCCTATAATACGCCTCACAGACATCTGTTCAGAAGTAATGGTTTTGATACACCCCTGGTTCCTTTAATTCACATTATTGGATGATATATATACATTTTCATATGAAGGCACACACACACACACACACACACAGTTGAAAATGTAAAAATTAAATCAACCCAGTCTGTCTTCTAGCCAATACAGACGTCTAATGAAATGTTTGGGAGGAGCTTGTACAGCTAACCCTGTCAATCATATCACAAGAATATATGAGCAGCTGTTTTCCACACCCATGTAGGTTACTGAGGCTTGTCGATTCAGAAGTCAATCACATTACACTTCTCTTTTTTTAATCACATTGCCTCAATCTCTCATAATGACTAAGCACAATATTGCATTTATTGAAAAACTGCTATTGTCAGTTTAAAGTCAGCATGAAATACATTTTTTAAGTATGTTATCGATTTTGGTGGGGATGTTGAATTGATATGTGTTTTCATGTTCTCATTCCTGTTTGTATATTGTTAATAAAAAAAAGTATGTTATTGATCTTATTGTGAATTATTCATCCTTGCATATGTTTTTTTTTTAAAAACCTTGTAATATATAATCAAAATATCATATCTTGTTCTACGGGCGACATATGTTGGACTTCTTAAACACCACCCCTTTCTTACATCTACAAGCTTGCATTCAGATCTGCCTCCATCCAATCAAAAACACACATATTGAACAAAGTCCCCGCCTATTTTATTTATTTTTTTGGTACTCTTTGTACATTGTGACTTTAAGTAGAATGAACATGTTTAAAACTGTGTTGTTGACATAAGAGCTCAGAAATGTTTGAATAAACTGCTAAAACATGCAAATCAGAAGGCCAGAGGAAGATCAGAAAAGATATATTGCTGACACAGCCACAGAAATGAATGCCGTGATCCCTGTCACATGTAAACACTACATTTTTCTTAGTTATTTGATATCACTTATATTGTAAAGCATAGAAACTATCATCCAGCAAACATGACACAGAACAAAACTCAGCTTTTCTCTATGTGCAACATAAAAGGGCAAAACAGAGGGATAAGACAAACACTCTAACAACTGACAAATGCACCACTAAACAGTGATTCCAGCATTACTATAACAGCTCATATAAGTCATATGAGTGGTCAAAAAGCCATACGTGACTTGTGGTCAATAAGGGTGGATTATGGTTTGTGTACAGTTAACTGTGTGTGATACAGGGCCGGGATTGAATCACAGTGGGGTATTCTGGGCCTGTGGAGAACTGCAGCTGTCGACCTCTCCTCTCCAACACATACACTAAGCACACAAACAAATGATGCATTTTGAAAACAAGACTGCCTATGGCCAGATCTGAAAACGAGGGGGGGGGGTTCAGTTACTACATTTAATATTTTAACAAAAGGGTAAGTGCTGAGTTGTGAGTGCTGATATTTAATGTAAGATCCCTCCAGATGAGTGAAAACCACTGATTTCACAAGTTTGTTAAAAGTCAGAAGCATTTCAAGCATAGCTTTGTCAATAATCAATAAAAATCTTGATGTATGCTCAAACTCAGTGCTATATTTGAGCGGTGGGCTTCAGTGGGAGGATTGAAGGCCGGTGATAATCTATAATGAGACAGATGAGTCACTGGTGTACAGGAGAGAGTGCAAACTCAACAGCGACATTAAAAACTAACAGCACACACATATTACTGCAATACTTCCAAGAGCCTCACACTGTTCTCTCTCTCTCTCTCACTCTCTCTCTCTATATATATATATATATACACTGTTCACTTGAGGTGCTCAATATTTTCTGGTCATTAGATAATGTTTATGTACAATGTCCATATTTTTTTCCTTTTATGTGCTATGTTAAAATGACATCATTGCATGGCATTGTGACAGTTGTATTAATAAAGAAAAAATGTCTTGAAAACTGGTCTTACCTTTTGTAGGCTGGTTGGGTTCAACTGAGTCTTGTCGATAATCTTTATTGCAACCTAAAAATGCAATGCACAATTAGTGATGTAAGCTCCAAATAAAATGTCTCTTATGCTAGACAGATAGCCCCCCAAAAAGTCTTAATTGTTTGTGATCAAACCTGATATAGTGTTATTTGACATTCATTAGTTTAGGCTTTTATCAAAACAATCTTGCTGGATGGGGAAACCAGATTAAACTATTATTGGTTACAAAAATGAGAATATGTACACTACTATTCAAAATGTATTTGATCAAGAAATAGAGTAAAACATTAATAGTGTAAAATACGATTTAAAATAGCCATTGCTGTGATGGCAAAGCTGAAGTTTCAGCAGCCATTTCTCCAGTCTTCACTGATCCTTCAGTAATTTTTCTGATATGCTAATTTGGTGTTCAAAAAACATTTCTTATTATCAGTGATGTTGAAAACAATGTAGTCAATGTTGTAAACAGCTGTGCTGCAAAATATTTTTTGTAAAAAATATGTGATGCATTTTCAGGATTCTTTGGTGAATAGAAAGTTTAAAACAACATTTATTTGAAATACATCTTTTTTATTTCTATTATAAATGTATTTAATGTCACGTTTGATTAATTTAATGCATCCTTGCTGAATAAAAGACTTACTTGCCTTCAAAAAGAAATCTTATGGACCCCACACTTTTGAACAGTAGTGTATTTGACTCCACTAAATATCATAGTATATGAAGAGACATCTGTGTCAGAATTTTAAAAGTACTCCTTGCTTCAGAGCTTTGTTTATTTACAGGAGTGACAACCATATTTAACAAATTAAAAAATTCAGGTGATCACCAAATTTATTCATTAAATGTGTAGTGTGTACAGAGCCAAACTGTTAATGCAATGATGTAATTAAAAGTGCATATAAGACTCTTTTGTTCTTGTGTGGCGCTAGTCAGAGCCAGAGCCATGTGTCTTGACTCATTCGCAAATTCACATGCCAGTCTCTCTCCACCGTAGCTGCTCCCACCAGCCATGTGGTCTAGAGGCAACTCATACTGTACCGTTCAAACAGAGCACATGCTGTTAGTAGCAGCTTAAAGAGCATAAAACACTCTGTTGATGGGTATTTTATTATCTGATCGCTAATATTACTCTGGTCAAAAATAGCACAAAACTTTTAGCATCCATGTTACCTATTTACAGCCAAACTGTTGCAGTGGTTATGTCAGCCATCATGAGTCTGGGAGTGATGACTGTATTCCGTATACAAACACAATCATAATATACGGGGTTCCCATCTGTATTTAAATACAGTTGTCACTCCCAAAGGTGTATATGTGGCACCGATAACAGAAAAAATTAGCATTTATCGGCCGATACCGATATGGTGGCCGATATATCGTGCATCCCTAATTGCAAAGCAGCTTTACAGAAAATTAAGTTTCTACAATATATTTAGTAGTAGCTTGTCAGTGGTGACTATGTCAAATTGACTGCCACAAGTTCACTATTAATGCTGCAAAAGTTTTTAAACTCTCTATTATGGTATTTATCTAGAATTAAAAAAAATTCTAGAACTTTAAATATTTTAACACTGTATGCTGGCATGATTCTTTAAACATCATAATTTATTACTGTCCAAGATTATTAAAGCTCTCTGCTGCCCACTAAAAAGACCACCTAAAATCACACTATATCAGCTTTGGTTTATAAAAAGTAAACGTGGGGGTGGAGTTGTTCACACTTAAGTTGTACCACTTTAAAAATATACCACCCAAAGAATTACAGCTCACAAGTGTTCTGATGATAAAGAGACATAATACAGCAGCTCCTGTACCAACATCTTATCACACACTACTGGTTTTACCTATGTAAACTCTCTCTTTTGCAGTCTTTCTCTCTCACCTCTTTGCCCGTGAGGATGTGGCGGGCTAGTTTGACTTTAGCAAAGTTGCCCTTGCCGATGGTTTTGAGGAGCCGGTAATTTCCGATGTGTGGCAGCTCGTCTGAGCAAGAGGCCATGGAGTTACGACATCTCGCACCCAGTGAACGACTCGACACATTCGTTCCCTTCTCTGAACGACTCGCCACCAAAGACGCATGCTGGACAGAGAGACAGACACAGGGAAAATTTATTAAGATTAATTCAGTTCAATTTGGAAAAAATGGATTGGACTAAACAGGAGGTTATGCTGAAGCAAACAGAAGGAAGAAAAAAATGGCCTTAAAGAAAGAAACCCGCCTGTGACTCTAGCCACTCCAAAGGACAAGTAATGCAGATCACAGAAATTGCATTTAGAAACAAATTTTTTTTTATTGTAGAATAGAAGAAAAACCAAATGGGAGAGTGGAAACTGTGGTGAAAAAGATCAATGCTACAGCACTGACCATCTGCACCAGATTTAAAAATCAAATCCTCATTTACTGATTTAGCTCTTACTTCACACACACAAATAAGTCTACATGTATGATGAGCCACACAACTGTTGTAGTATCTAGCAATTAGTACTGATTGATTGATTGATTGATTGATTGATTGATTGATTGATTGATTGATTGATTGATTGATTGATTAAACTACATTGTGAACATTTCTAAAGAGAACAATGTTCACTAATGATGCATCAAAATTTTGACAACCGTAAAAAGTTTGCAAGGGCCAAAACAGTGACATTTAATTACCTCTTCTCTGATGACACATTTTGACCATTTCAGCATCTATTTCATGCACACAACAAAATATAATCATGGCAGCAGTGTGGACATACTTCATTGTGACCAGAAAGGATGCTAATATGTAAAATTGTGTTTGGCTGAAATATCGAGAGGCAGCTTGCTGCTGAAGAACTCTTCTACGACTGATTTAATTTATCACCCAAGAACACAACACGCTGGAAAGCATATTAAGTCCAATTACCCAATTTGTCATATTTATTTACTCAAACTTTATTTTCCGTTTTGTTTTTGTTTTTTTGGCTAAATAAAAAAATTAATTTCAGTTTCAGTGTTCAGGTAAAAAATTAATTTCAGTGCATCACTATGTTTATACAGTTACAAAGTGGGTTTGTAAAAAAAAAACTGTCAACAGAGCTCTCAATATACACACACAATGAATTAAACATCTGGTGCCATAGTAATAGAATTAAATCAGAATTGGAAAAAAAGAAAAAATAACTTGCATTTTGTGTGCCTTAATAGTCTTTAAAAGTATTCAGAAATACATAAATGTAAGGGGAAATTAAGATAATTCAGCTTGTTTTTTATAAACATGAAAACAACATTTACATTTTTTTTTATTAATTATTATTCAGATTGCTAATGTGATGATGGTATACGAGAGTGTGCGGGAAAACTGAGGTTAGCATTGGTGTGTGAGTAATTCAGCCCTATAATACAGGATTAACTTACTTTGCCTTGGGGGTTTTAGTCTGCCACAGCTGAAACTAAACTTCTATTTAGATTAGCACATTTAAACCTGACTGAGCCCTGAACACTCAGGCTAACATCTGGTAAAGTTTCCTTAACGGCTCCAACTGTCCCCTTAAGAGGGGATAGGAAGGAGCTCACACGGAAATCAAAACATGCCCAGGTCCCCATCTGCACCGCTGACCACAGGATTACAGCTCAGGGATTGAATAAATTACTCACAATGCCCTGCCCTACTCTTACTGGACTCTACCTCACACACACTATATACAAAATATGCCAAATTGTACATACTGTGCACTAGCTCTCATTCTTTCTTTTTTTTATTATAAAGAAAGAAAGAAAGATAAAGAACGAAAGAAAGAAATGATCACAGACTGTTATGAAACTTGTCCCTTGAGAGAAATCCAGCCAGGAGCATGGATGGGTGTTAAGTAATCTTAGTCCAGTTCTGCCTTAACAAGGTATATACATATACTTTTGACACATGGTTTTTGATGGCATAGATGTATCCTCTGTGATATCTCAGAATCATGTGTTTATTTCGGCAGTTGTTCTAAAGTTGTTCTAAATGGTGTCTAAAGGAATTTTTTAATTAAAAGATAACATTTTACTGTATTTTATTACTGTTTTACTGTATTATTGATTAAATAAACAGTCAATATAACAAAGAGTGAAAAATTTAAGGGGGTCTGAGTACTTTCTGTACCCACTGTATATATATATGTGTGTGTGTGTGTGTGTGTATGTATACATGTATGTATGCATATACACATATACTGTATATGTATGCATATACAGTATATGTGTGTGTATGTATGTAAATATTAGGGATGCAACAATACAGTTAGGCTACGGTTCAATACACACCTCAGTTTTTTTTGCGATTTGCAATTTAAAATGTGATTTTTAAAACAAAAACTGGAGAAAAACATGAATTATCATATGTCTACTTCAAATTTATTTTGAGAGAAGTATTATTTTTCCTATTTTTACCCAAAATAGGATGGAGTGGCTATTATTGAGTGCTATAAATAAACACATGTAATGTTTATTTCACTCATACTGGAAGCCAGAGGGCACCCTCGCGCAGAAACTCTGCATATGTATCACATAAAGCTGGCTGCACACTAGACGATTTTCAAATCTTAAACGGTTTTAAAACCATAGGAGACCACAGACATGAAGACAGTTCAACTGATTTTTAGCCTTATAATCCTCTGAAACATGTTTGATATTTACGATTCGGGGACGCTCCGTCTCAATCGGGAGCAGATAAATAATCGTACTGACACCACACAATAGAGAATTTTTGGACAAAAAATTGTTTGTGACAAGCCTCAAATCGGGCCACACACTGCTGCTTCATTCGGGGATGCAAATTGGGCTTAAAATCAGCCTTAAAATCGTCTAGTGTGTGACCAGCCTAAGTAACAGAACTGATGAGGCTCCAGGAAATCCCTAATATGGACAAAGACATCCAGCTATCGTGTGACTGATAGAAACGTTTTGAATGATGAAACATGAAGACAATAAACACTCGACTCGGCAATGTACGGTTTATCGGCGTTCTTCAAGCCATCTCAGGTATTCTCATAATAATTAAGTATATTTGTAATCCATTGTTAATCGTCATGTGTTCCTTTTTCGAACGCTCATTATATAATGCTCGAACTCACGGGCACACACACAGAGAAATAAAAGTTGCGTAAGTTATTTAAACGCAAAACGAAAAACCACAATATACAAGCGCATATTGAACCGTGGATGTCGTACCTAACGGTTCAATATTATATTGAGAATTGTCACACATACACACACACAAACATATATATATATATATATATTGAGGCAGACAAAGTTCAAATGCAAAGCTGCGTTCTCAGTTCCTAACTAAGACATCAAGACCCTGGTCATTATGATTTGGTTAGTTGAACATACTCCAATAAATTACTTAAAACATTTACCTTGGAGCAATTGCTTTAAAATGTACAGTGAGTACAAATATATTGAGTGTTACCATCACATGAGTGTTTTTTTCCCCAATGCGGTTACAATCAGCAAATAAACAATAGTTGCTTTAGATTTAGTTTACTGAAGCGACACTAAATACATAAGCAAACACAAGTTTAAGTCAGTTCATGAACCACACTGTAATTTGTTGGCGCAGAGCTGGTAGGCCACTACACCAGCCAGTGCGTCAGTTTCAGAAGCGCGGGACTGTACGCGAACGGCAGAACACAGCTAGCGGTGAAACCTCACTCCACCCTCCCTAGTTGATTCTGGTGCCCCGAATGGCTATAGTCATTTTCTGATATGCAGAGATAGAGGGTTTCTTTGCTTTTCTCCCGCAAATTCTGCCAATGAAGCAAAACCGCTCTTTGAGAGCGCATGTGCGCAGCTGATGCGCTGATGTGTACACTATGCGGATGGCCTGAGCTCTACTGCCTGCGCGTTTCGCAGCGCCTCTTTTGCTGCTTTGTACATTCAATGATACGGCCCATTTTGCCAAAGAACCTGCTACACGTACATGGGCCACTGTATCCTGCCTCTCCATCCTCCCATGGCAATGAATGCCTGATATTCAATCCCGGCTGCAAAAATGACGGTGCACCTGACGTTAAACACTGGGCGTTGTAGGATATGAATGGAAACGGGGCACTGAGATGATATTTTACAACAATGATAATTCATTTGAAATGAAGATACTTACATGATCTGTGCTCCGGTCGTTCGCAGACGGTAAAGCAGACCGAGAGGACATTTTCCCTGAGACGATTAACACGATTAAAGAGGAATAACGCGAGCAGTATTTACAGATTTAATCTCCCCCGGTAAACGCAGCTGGGGCCGAGCTTCTCTCACACCGCCTGCTCGGTAAAGCCTGCGTCTGTCATGACAGCGGCAACAGCAGTCCGCAAATCTCACAGATGTCCTCGAGACAAACCATGCAAACCGTAACGATCGAACGAGTCAGTTGACGATGAAAACGCAAGAGCGGCGGTATATGTGCTAAAACAGAGTAATGCTTGGCCGGAGCCCAACGATGTTGTAGCGACTCGCTACCCCCCGCCTCATCTCCGCGAGCAAAACAAATACGGCTCCGACAACCCCGTCCTCTTTTCTCATAATAATACCGAGGATCTCTCCGCTCCCCTGTACCATTCACTTCTCGCATCTGTTTGTCATGGGAAAACAGAAGCTTTGGCCGGTGAGGAGACCGAGACCCGTTCACATCCTGAAGCAGCCGTTATATTCCAGCGGCGGATAGTGAGATGCGCCACTGCTGCCTCCTCCAGCGCTCGTCCCAGCACTGACACGCGCGCGCGGACGCACTAATGGACCATTTAAAGAGCTCCACACAAGCGGACTGATGGACTACTTGCACGTGTCAAAATTCTCCGTAGCTTGGGAGGTCTTTAAATACTCAATCATTGCGCTTTTTCATCATAGTCATTTTACTTGAGAGTGTTTTAAGGGCTAATAATCTACTGCAATTGTTATCTTGTTATCTTCAATCTTGAAGTTGTAATGAAAAGAAATGGCCGTATATTACTGTATATTTACACAGGCCAGTGGCAAAGGACAAGATTATAAACAAACTACATGTTACAACTGACTTCAGATGACTGCTTACTGTGTCTAACATGATTTTTAATCATGTTTTTGAAAATGTGAAATCAGTCTGCTTGATTGAAACATAGAAAATAAAGTCTGCTAATGGTAACAATGAATATATTTTTCCTCACTGTACATTCTAAAGCACCAAGAAAAAAACATTTGATGTAATTAATTAAAGTATGTTAAACTAAATACATTTTATATAAAGGATCAGGTTGTCGACGTCTTAGTGAGGAACTGAAACACTTTGCATTTGGACTGTGTTTGCCTCACAATTAATCAATTTATTTATTTCTCTTTTTATATTCACTATACTATTCCAAAATTTGGGGCCGGTCAGATTTTTTAAAATGTTTTTGAAAGGAGTCTCTTATGCTCACCAAGGGGGGGTATATATTATATATAATAAAATATTATATATTTGATAATATATAAAAAATATTTTACAATTTAAAATAACTTTTATTTCATGACTCAAAGGGATAGTTCACCCAAATATGAAAATTCTGTCATCATTTATTCACCCTCAAGTTGTTCCAAACCTGTATGAATTTCTTTCTTCTGTTGAACACAAAAGAAGATATTTTGAAGAATGTGGGTAACCGAACATTTGCTCCCCAATGCCTCTCATGTAACTGTTAACTGGTTAACCCACACTCTTGAAAATATCTTCTTTTGTGCTAAACTTGAGGGTGAGTAAATGACGACAGAATTTTTGGGTGAACTATCCCTTTAAGGATAGATAAGTCTGAACTGGATTACATTACAGTACTATAATGTCAAACATTTCATTGAGAACTCAAACAATAACAGGTCCAGGGAACTACTGTACAGAAAACAATAAAGGAGTTTGTGGAAAATGTGTTGAAATTTTGTGGCCAGAATTACAATCCATCCAATAGTTAAAAGTAGTGATTATGTCATATTCACCATATTTTGAAATATTTTTACTATTTAAAATTACTGCTTTCTATTTGAATATATTTTAAAATGTAATTTATTCATGTGATCAAAGCTAAATTTTCAGCATCATTAGGCCTACTCCAGTCTTCAGTGTCACATGATCCTTCAGCAATCATTTTAATATGCTGATTATCAATTTTTAAAACAGTTGAGTACATTTTTTCAGGATTCTTTGATGAACAGAAAGATCCGAAGATCAGCATTTATCTGAAATAAAAAGCTTTTGTAACATTATACACTATTCCATTCAAAAGCTCTTTTTAAAATTTATATTAGAAATTATTACTTTCATTTAGCAAGGATATTTTAAATTGATCAAAAGTGATAAAGACATTTATAATGTTACAAAGGATTTCTATTTCAGATAAATGCTGTTCTTCTGAACTTTCTATTCATCAAAGACACCTGAAAAAAATCTACTCCGCTGTTTTCATCATCATAATAATACATGTTTTTTGAGCAGCAAATCAGATTATTAGAATGATTTCTGAAGGATCGTGTGACTGGAGTAATGACGCTAAAGCTCTGCTTTGAAATCACAGGAATAAATTATATTTTCAAATAGAAAACAGTTATTTTAAATAGTAAAAATATTTCAAAATGTTACCGTTTTTGCTGTATTTTGGATCAAATAAATGCAGGCTTGGTGAGCAGAAGAGAATTCTTTAAAAAACATTAAAACTCTTACTGTTCAAAAACTTTTGACTGGTATGTTAGCCTACAGTTTGAAGTAAAAAATATTAATATTAATAAGGAGAGTCTGAGATTTATTTGATTAGATTTCACATTTCTTTTTTGTATGAAGGCTAAATATCAATAAAAGTTGAACATGTATTTATTTGCGCCATTTTTTCCCTAAAATATTATATAGTTTTATAGGAGTAGGTTTCATAGAGTTGGCAAATTAATTTTTCATAAGTTTGTAGGTACAGACATCTGTTGTGGCCGTTCTTGGCTGTTTTTATGAGGCTTTTTTAATAGTGTTCATATCGATATCGGAATTATATCGTATCGACCGAAATTAAGAAATATATCGTGATATAAATTTTGGCCATATCGTCCAGCCCTAATTCATAACAAAGTGAACTACACAGCTTTGCTCAGGATATCCCATTAACTTGCAATAAAGCATGGACTTAAACATAGCAAACTTTGTCCAGTCCAATGAATTTTTCCTAGAAGCCGTCTCTGTAGCAGATTAGTAGACCTCATAAACATGACTTTTCCCCAGCATACCTACAACAGACTAAGCTACCTGTGCCTCGAATTTACAGCTAATTATCCAAAAGACAAAAGGCAATTATAGTTAATTTGACTTGCTGCTAACATCCATGACTCATGAGAGCTTCCATGTAAGTTAGCTCAATTTTAGCTAAGACAATAGGAAGTCTAGTAGGTTAGACCACTGTGCGTTCTTTCACTGCATGAATCAGTTTATTAAAATGCATTTAGAATGATCACAAAATTCAAGATATGGGTGCAGAAATGTATATATTTATAGGCTATCATTTCATAGTTAATCAGTATCACGCGAAGACTGACTTTTTTTCCACCAAAAAGCAGCATGATTACAAATGTGATATTGATTTTATACAGCAGTTCAATAAACAATAATTTAATATTAAAACACTTACGTTTTAGACACAATATTGACATTTGCTCTATTTCGCCATCAAATATAATTCCAATTGTGTTTTGTTCCTGAATGAATCAACCGTTTAAATGATTCGGTTCAGTCGCAATGACTCACTTACTAACAGTGACTTGCTGCCACCTACTGACAGTTTTAATTTCACATTTAAAATATCTTTTAATTAAAAAAATAATAATATTAATAATTTCAAATATCAGTATTCAACGTTTTATGTTTAAAATATCAAAACTGTTTTAATGCATTTGTAACTGCAGGTTAAATGCATTCATGTCCTGCATTAAACAGTGTGTAAATGCATCTAAATGCCCCTTTCTAATGCAGCTACTGTGTTTTCTCTGCATTGTAAAGATTAATTTTGTCAATACTGATTTCATTTGCTTGGTAACAGCCCAAATGACTTATTATTCTAATTGACTGATTCAATTTAAGAATTTGACTGAAATGATCAGAACGACCACACAGAATATGAAGAATATTAGGAGTCAGTTGTCCACGGTAGTCCTTAAGATATCAGCACAATAACACTATTATACTAATACAATTATTTAACTGCTCATCTAATTATCGTTATTGATAAAATCCCAGGTGGGTGAGGGTGAGTATAATTTCAGCAGATTTCCATTTTTAGGTGATCTATTCTTTTAATCTCTATAAATTCTGTTATGTCACATTATAGCTCCAGTTTTGTCCACTTGCTGCTATTTCCTAAGTTCAAGATTTCGATACACAGCTGCCAAAAGCCTTTTCCTGCTCTAGACTGAATGCTTCATCAAGCTACACACCCCATCCTAACCACTATTCAAATCTCAGTCCACATCTGTCTACAAAATCCACCTCAGCAGCACCTCCAACATCTCAGACTTCTGAGAAAGTTACTAGATATTAAGGTCAATTTTTTTTACAACACAAGCATTCTCTCACGTAAGCACCACAGCATAGTTTAGAAACACCACATCTCAGGACTGCAAGGCCCTGCAGATATCGAAATGCTCCACTGAGTGCATCATCAGGGATACTCTTTCTACCTTACAGATCATTTAATTCAAGAGGTGCAGGAAAAGAACCAGAAAAATCATTAAGGACCCTAACCGTCCCAACAATGGTCTCTCTTCACGCCTGCACTCAGGTAAACGCTACTGCAGCTGTATAACCAACTCACAGTGGCTCAGGATTAATGAGGATGCTGCTCAAGGACTGTTTATCACCTTATGATTAACCAAGGCAACAAGAAGTACCCATGCAAACACAATCCAATATTTTCATTCATTTAATTATACACAGTATATCCTTAAGACAATGAATTCACAAATATTGCTTTGGACATTCAAAATTTACACAAGAGCCAGTCCATCTCGTTTGGTCCAAAAACTGTGAAGTTGGTTGCTACGTAATTTTTAGAATGATTAATTCCCCCTTGTAAGTTTTCTGAGACCCCCTCGTGGGCACCATCCCTCTGGTTGCAAACCACTGTTTTAGACCTCATCAACTTAATTCATAAACATAATTGTAAAATGTTTTACTCAAAAATTAGGAGAATGGTCAGGCAACCTCCAGTGGACCACATACGATGGACTTAATGTGCTACTGCAATGATCCTTTATGCTTTTTACTTTTAAGATCATTTTCCAAAATAACCTATTCAGCAGTGGTCTTTTAAACTGTGTTGGTATAAATGCAGAGACATTTTCCTATTAGCTCAGTACAGTTAGAGATACAGCTCGTGTGATATCATGAAAGTGGTTGACAGTGACACACCTTCAGTGGAATCAAATAGCCTAATCTGAGCCACTAATATGAAAGTCTTCATTCTTGTGTGTGTACATTTTTAAACAAAAAAAAAAAGAAAGAAAAAAATGGGATAAAATGACATGGTATATCATACCACTGATACTAAGTTTTCACCATCAAAAGACCACTAGATGGAGCTCTAACATGTAATTAATAATCCTTCCTGATGATTTTTTTTGTCCATGAAGGTTCATGGCTTCTGTTAATTAGATAAATCAGAGACTGTCACTTTATGTTTGTAGAAGCAGCAGTGCTCACTGTGCTAAATTCTACATCTCATCGGCAAATTCCTGACATATAA